GGCGGGATTGCCTTTCTTCAGCGCAGCGGGGGTTGCAGCCTGAGTGGGTTCACTCGCTTGCTTAGCCTTTCCGCCCCTCTTGGCGCGGACTTCCTCTTCACTTCGAGCAAAGTCTGTAGCGTGGTGAAGCGCGTCTTGAATGGTTATCGGCGGGTTGATAGTCAATTCCTGCCAGAATGGAGATGGGCATCGGAGCGCTCCTCTCAAGGCCTCCAGTGCGGACGTGTTGCTAATACCGTCCACCTTTGACAACGTGTGTTTAAACCTGGTCATGAAAGATCGTAGACTTTCATTCTCACCTTGCCGGTTCGTCCATAACTCCGCATCATAGATCTTCCGTTCTGCGAAGATGTTGTAATGCAACACAAACATCTCTGAGAGTTGATGAAAGGTGTGGATTGAGTTCTTTTCTAACTTATAAAACCATTGGAGGACAGGCCCCTTGAGGCTTTCCACAAACAGCTTGCAATAGCCGATGTCTTTCTCGGCTTCTCTAAAATTTGCTCTTCCTAGAGCTACTTTGAATTCCATCAGATGATCCGAAGGGTCGGTGGTTCCTTCGTAGATTGGTAACTTGACTCTTCCTGGATCGGAGATTTTAGTCCTCGCCATCCATTCGGCAAAGGGTGTGTTCCTTGCTTTCTCCAGCACGTGGGCGATTGTAGGGGCCTTACCTGAGGCATGGTGTACCTGTGATTGAGTTGTCTTCAGGTCGAAGACAACTCGCTGCATCTGAGCCCGTATCTCGGCGATGTCTGCATCCCGAGATCTCCTTAGCGCCCTGCGCTCCTTCTCCCTTTCGTAGTGCTCTGCTTACTGAGGGTCCGCGTTCATCGATGCTGGAGTAATCATTGTACTCCGAAGCATTTCACAGGGTTTTCGTCCGGGAGGACGATGACACGCTCCGTCCGTCTGGGGCACGCGTTCCCATTGGGTTACCTCTCACATCCTCCGTTCGCGCGCGTCGACGAGGAGGTGGCTGATCTTCGTCTGAGACCCCTTCGAAGCGCTCGGGAGTTCTGTCGGATTCCCACCGCGGAGGTGGGGGCGGTAAGTCGCTTGGATCCTTTCGAGCAGCATGAGGTATTGAGAAGTTGAGGCGATGCGGGTCAAAGCGACCCCTGAGTCCTGCGTCTTCGGGTCTTTTGCGCTTCCGTTGTGAAAGAGCTTTCAACTTGTTTGTAGTTGCCTCGTTGAACTTTTTTTGCTCGTTGGACTCTCTGAGGAGCGTTTTCAGCATCTGCTTGACCTCGGTCATGTCTCCAGGGTTAGCAGCGTCGTTGGTGGCAGGGGTTTTGACGGAGTTCTCCTCCTCGTGAACGGTTTTGTGAGACGAGGACTCCTCGCTGTTGCTGCTCGATTTATTTTCTTCGCCGCTCATTCTTGCAGATCTGGTGTGTAACATAGCTTTTTTGTGTGAGAAAGTCTCTAGTGTCCCCTTAGACGGCGCCAAATTGTGGGAGCCAAGATTAGCACAATTAGATTTGTAAGGGTTTCGAGAGGAAGCAGAGAATTCTAAGTTAAGCTACGAGAGAAAACGATGAGCAAAGAGAAACGTTTATTATTGCTGTGTATGTTTTTGTGAACAAAGTTGCGGATACCTTTACAAGGGTTTATGCATTGACATATATAGTGTTCCTAAGTCGGCTAGGTTTTCCATAAAGGATTATGTTAAGTTTCCTAAGTCTTCGCGGATTTCCTTTTCGTTCATGTCGGTTGTGCCGAAGTGGGCTTTGCAACTGGACTGGGCTTCAGCGTTGAGACTCCAAGCTCCCGCGGTCCTTGCGACGTCGCTTCGTA